TCATATAGGACTGTCTCCATGAAAAATCCTTTGGGCTTCCTCACAAAGCCTGTATAATGTGAATTCACTTAAAATGAACTGGGACCCACCCCCTTCCCATCTCCTCCTTGCTCCCTCCTGCCAGCTTCAGCACCCCGTTCCTGTAGGAAGACGCAGGGAGACGTCCAGTGCGGGGCCTTCTTGCTGGGGCGATTGGATAGGCTGCTGGGCCCGGTGCAGCCGGGAGGGGAGGGTGCGGTGCAGCCAGCGGTGGACGAGAAAAGGCCAGGCTGGCGGGTCCGGCAGGTGTTTGGTCTCGGTGCTTTTCCGTTTTCCGGTTCGTGGAATGGGTTATTGACCTGTGTTTTTTGTAGGCATTTTTTTTTCTGGAAAAATGCCTCATTTGCAACTTTAAGTTATTTTACCCGATCCCCCCCGCCCCCCGACTAATCATTACTTTCTTTGATTTTTTTTGGTACCCTTGTCCTTTAAAATTTAGTTCTCAGGTTTTGCCACAAAGAAGTTATGTAGTTTCTTTTCAAAAGAAATGAGAGGGAAAGCCTGACTTTTCATTTCTTAGTGGTTACAATCACGAAGCTGGACTTTTAACAACTATTTTTTTTTTAATTTGTTACTTTAAGGTGTGAATTTAAAACTTCAGTCATGGAGTTAGCCCACAGTTTGTTGCTAAATGAGGAAGCTTTGGCTCAAATCACGGAAGCAAAGAGGCCAGTTTTTATCTTTGAATGGTTGCGATTTCTTGATAAAGTCTTGGTGGCTGCCAACAAGGTATGGTACTGCTTTTTCCCCCCCAGTTGGGTTAACATAATCAAGAATCTTATGTGCTCATGATTTGTGAGAAAACATATTTTAAAAGGTTGTAGGTCTCTCCTGGAACTTGAGAAAATTACTGTCATAGGGATGTATTGTCTGCACTTTTTCTATTGTGTGGCAGACCCCAAACCTCCTTTCAACCCCCCTTGTGGCCCATTTCATGCCTCCACCTGGACAGCTGAATGTGACTGGGGAAGAACACGGCTATATGACTGGTGTCACTTTGAATTCATCGTCTCTCACTGCAGGTGGTCCCTCCGTGCTGCCTAGCCACCCCAGTATCTTCGTTTGTACCTCTGAGGAGTTACTAATAGGCTTTCCCGCCGTTTTCTTCAGCCTGCGTACCAGCCGTGGGCAGACTACAGCCCGCGGGCCGGATACAGCCGGTTTGAAATGAATAAAACTAAAAAAAAAAAAAAAAACCGTACCCTTTTATGTAATGATGTTTACCTTGAATTTATATTAGTTCACACAAACACTCCATCCATGCTTTTGTTCCGGCCCTCCGGTCCAGTTTAAGAACCCATTGTGGCCCTCGAGTCAAAAAGTTTGCCCACCCCTGGATAGTCTATCTCATTATCCGTGTGCTGCTTTTCTGTCTTGAAAATTAGACACTTTGCTCAAAATCTGATGGTCTTTGGATGTCTGGTCAAATTTGAGCGTGAGTCGTGAAACGCTTTTCTGGGCAGGGTGAAGTGTGTTCATTGTACTTCACCTGCTGACTAGTCCAGTTCTTTGAGAAACCCTTGCTGGTAGTATCATAGGTTTCTCTTGTCTAGTCGTTCCCCAGAAGAGACTTTTCTGCTCTCGTGTTGTAGGGTGTACGACTACTTGCCTGGCTATAGGAATTGAGGGAGAAGGCCGGGGACTTCAGCATTCATTATGTAAACTTTCACTTAGCCACCCTGTTTTCAGTGCCATTTTCTCAGCCCACAGCTGTGCCTGGGCCCCATAAGTCCAGAATAGAAGAGAAAGATATGGGAGTCGTAGATTCTCAATCATTCCCTCCATTTCTAGACAGAACTTCACTTCTCCATAAACTCCTGGAGCCTCAAAACAACACGAATAAACAGCATGAGCTTTTAGGGGATTTCTTGTAAGTTGGGTCTCTTCTCAGCTCTCCCTACTGGAGATACCTGGCTTCCATCTTTTGCATTGATTCATTTCCTGTTTTCTTTACCCTTGTGGATTTGTGGTTTTTGGGGGGGTTGCCCTTTAGTATAGTTTTAGTAAGGTTTCTTTAACAGAGGTTTCTATTTTCTCTTAAACCCCCTCCAGCTGAATATTTGTTGCCTCTACTCCACTGAAACAGCTCTTGTTCAATCAATAATGATCTCAAATTGCCCAAATCAGTGGATCAGTATTCTGTATTAATTGACATAGCTGAACTTCTACCTGAAAGACTTAAGTATTTTTTAGTTCTGAAATTGAAAAATACGAAAGAGTATATATGAAGTTATCTAATGAAGCATAATAATATGGACATCTGTAAACCTCCATTCAAATTAAACAATAGATTGTTGTCGTTACTGTGGATGCACACTGCATGAAGTCCTCCTTATCGTAGTCGCCAAGACACCATTTGCTTTTAGTTCTCTTCTGCACTAGTTACTCCTCATTTCCTTCTCTTGGTTCTTTCTCAGTTCTGGGTAGCCTTCTTTTTTAAAAAATCTGTCTATACTTATTCTTACAGTGAGTGATACCATCTATTTTCAGATTTTTACTACTATCTATACCAGTGGTTCTCAACCTTCCTAATGCCGCGACCCTTTAATACAGTTCCTCATGTTGTGGTGACCCCCAACCATAAAATTATTTTTGTTGCTACTTCATAACTATAATTTTGCTACTGTTATGAATTGTAATGTAAATATCTGATATGCAGGATGTATTTTCATTGTTACAAATTGAACATCATTAAAGCATAGTAATTAATCACAAAAACAATATGTAATTATATATGTGTTTTCCGATGGTCTTAGGCGACCCCTGTGAAGAGTCGTTCGACCCCCAAAGGGGTCGCGACCCACAGGTTGAGAACCGCTGATCTATACAGTAATGACTCCCAGATAGCCAATGAGACACTCTACCTCTTTATCTTGGCTATCTAAACAGAATATTCAAAGTTAACATATTCAAAAACAAATTCTTGATTCCCCCTTTCCAAACCTGTCCTTTCTCCAGTGCTCTTCATCTCAGGAAATGAATATTTCATCCTTCCAATTGGTCAGGTCATAAACCATAGAGGCATTTTTTACTTTTTTTTTTTTTTTTTCAAATTTCACATCATAATCATCAGCAACTCCAGTTGGATCTATCCACTAAATATATCCAGAATTAAATTGCTTTTCAACTTCTCAATTGTTATCAGCCCCATCTCTCATCTGGATTATTGCAAAATGCTTCCTAATGCTCACTGCTTCAACATGTACCTTGTATTCTTAGCTCAGCCATCAGAAAGAACCTGTTAAAACATTTAGATCATGTCCTTCCTCTGCTTCACACTCTCAGAATAAAACACAAAGTTCTTACAGTGATGTATAAGGCACGACACAGCGTGGTCCCTTCTGTCTTTCTGATTTCATCTCCTACTACTTCCTGTCTCTTACTCTGCTCCAGCCATACTGGCCTTCTCACGGTCCTCAAGCATGCTAAGCATACACCCTCCTCCAGGCCTTTACACAGTTTTCTCTGCCTGGACTGTTACTTTCCCAGATATCTGCATATCTTACACCTTCACTTCTTTTCAGGGAGGCCTTTCCTCACTAATCTATGTAAAATAGTAATAACTCACACTATTCAGTTGTTTACTTGGTAAATTCTGTGTCTCCCCTCTAGAATATAAATTCTAGAGTTCACTGTTGCCTAGAATAGTCATGCCTTAAAATAGTGCATGACATATAATAAGTGCACAATACATATTTCTTGAATGAATGGATGAATTTTGAGTATTGAGTATGGGTAGATCTGAGTGTTTTTCCTGTTGCCTAAGGCTCCTTCAAAATTTCTTTTGA